TTGCCAGCCCGCTCAGAGATGTGTATAAGAGACAGTTGTTAACCCTCACATTAAAACATAGTTTTCTTTCCCCATCAACAAGTATTCAGAAAACATATATTTTTATTATAATTAACTTATAAAATTGGCATAATAGCAGTCTGTCAAACCAACATTGTGTGTTAGTGTAATTTTTTAGGACGTGGTGGTTTAAAGATTAAATGGTGACAAATAAGAAAATTGTTGATAAATAACGTTTTAATAGCGGTCTATGAGACCGATATATAGTGGTTTAAAGGTTAAGACCTTTGCCTCACAATGTTAAAATTTAATTTAAAAACCATCTTGACAATAATTGAGAAATTGATTCGGAAATTGGGCGAAGAATAGACGCAGAGTCGAGAGGAAGGCAAATCATCGGGGAGACTCTATATAGAATCACGTGTACGCCGTTCTATCGAGTCCCGCACGCGTAAAAGTGTGTCATTGTCCCCCGTAGCGTGTACATACGGATACGGGCACGCCGTGGCATTCAGCTCCGAGAGCATATACCACTTATACGATCGTCCCGAGCAACCTCTCCTGAGAAACTTACGCCTTTCGCCCGATGCCGCGGTATACGGAGGCGTAGCTAGAAGGGAAAGGGTGCACCGTCCCCAATACGTGGGCCTGGTGGGGCGCAAAATCGATCGAATTTGCCAACGTCGATGATGTAACGGTCATTAGCTCAGCTATAGGCGAACTAAGAATCGCATTTAATAGATTTAATTAGACGTCCAGAGAATGCGGCTTATTAAATTATTAATTATGCACTTGGTAATAATCACCGATTTAATTGTTCAATTAAAGAAAGAGAGAGACAGCAAGGGAGCAAATAATTCAGTTTAGCAGTTGAGCTTGATTCCTCGCTTATTCTCCCCCTCCCCCCCATGGCAATTTCTCCTCGCTGTCCCTCTAACCCGGTTTCTAATTCGTAAAAGGTAAGAAGAGCGCTTAATAACTCGACTCCGCTAATTAACGTGCCTTTCGTAAACGAGCGCACGTCGTAAATCGACGGAAACCGTGAAAGCAATCTTCCACGCCAACACGACGTTTTTGCTTTCGAAAACATCTTTCAAATTGAGGAGGGCTTGGAGGAAATTGGAAAACTCCGTGTGTGCTATAAGCGTTTTCAGCTATGTAATTCGTCGCGCTTCGTCCATTACAAGGTCAATAATCTAACGCAACGCAATGATTAAACTCGGCAAAAGAACGAGTACGTGATATGCCGATATAGAAAACTGGACGAGTTCTATGACATTTCTGTAATTATTTTTGAATATACGTGGGTTTAATATTAATTATTTATTCGATGTCAACGCGCGCGATTGACGCCTTCGCTTCTTCTTTAGATACGATTTCGTAGTGATCGGAGGCGGTAGCGCTGGTGCGACCGTCGCGGCCAGATTGTCGGAGGAGCCGAGATTTTCCGTATTGTTGCTGGAGGCCGGATTGGATGAGCCGACCGGCACCCAGATACCCTCGTTCTTCTTCAATTTCATCGGTAGCGATATCGACTGGCAGTACACCACCGAGAGCGAGGACGACGCTTGCTTGAACAAGGAACACAGAAAATGTTACTGGCCTAGAGGAAAAGTATGTATAATTGAATATATGTAAGAAGAAGGTAGAGAAAAAAAGGAGAAACCGATGTCAATTCTTCTAATTTGCTCCGCAATTAAATTATTCTTGATTTCAATTGTAATTACGATTCAAAACTGGTAGTACAATGTTTTTATTTAGAAAAATCTGAGGTATTTTTATGTATAATCACAGAGAATGCAAAATGAATTTTCCAATATAGCTAGTAAATTAAAATAAACTTACTAGTTTTAATGTAAAATCTTTCTTCGTTGGAGATACTTGCTTGAGAAATATCCATATATATAAAACACAATATAAAATAGATAACATAAAACAAATAAAACGTAATCGTAGGTTCTCGGCGGTACGAGTGTCATGAACGGGATGACGTACATGAGAGGATCGCGCAAGGATTACGACGACTGGGCCCGGCTCGGCAACGTCGGATGGTCCTATCGCGACGTCCTACCGTATTTTATACGGAGCGAGGATAATCAACAAGTGAACACCATGGATTACGGCTTTCACGGGGTCGGCGGGCCACTCACGGTCATGCAGTTTCCTTATCATCCGCCGTTGAGTTTCTCTCTCCTCGAGGCCGGAAAGGAACTGGGTATGGGCAATCGCGAGGCTCGAGCGACCAGACAATCTTTCTATCTTTACGTCTAAATACAGGATTAACCGAAGTGATCCAAGACGGCTCTGGATTGCTCTCGTCTCGCTCTTTCCCAACTTTTATCTGTTATCAGGATACGACACGGTCGATCTGAACGGACGGGTTCACACCGGGTTCGCCATAGCGCAGACCACGTCCAGGAATGGCTCGCGGCTCTCCACGGCGCGCGCCTTCCTTCGCCCCGCTCGGAATCGCCCGAATCTCCACATAATGCTGAACTCGACGGCGACGAGGATCCTCTTCGACGAGAACAACCGGGCGGTCGGCGTCGAGTTCGCTCACGACGGAATGATGAAACAAGTGTCGGTGGCGAAGGAGGTGGTCGTGAGCGGAGGTAATTCCACTGATTAATTGGGATAACGAACCGGCTCGGTTGTCGGCCGACATTCGTGTGTAAGTTAAACTCGGGCGCGATAGTCAGGCAAATCTCTGTGGATTTCTCCTGTGAGCGCCCGGGCTCCATCGGGTTCCGTCTTATCGTTGACGCGGAGGAGGAAAGCTGAAGGGGCGCAGCGCTAACATTCCCCTATTCATGTCGAGGGCATGTCGTACGTATAGAAATCTGTGTGTCTAGAACCACACGCGCTCCGCATACACACCCACGTGGAGTCTTAATTACTCATCTTCCGCAAATTCCCTCGAGGGATCGTGATCGATTTCTCTCGAACAATGCGGATTGCGCATCTTGCGACGTCCTTGGGGATATTAGACTTACCTACTTCGCACTAATGTTATAGAGAAGATAAACGCCGATAAATTCTTTATCTTTAAAAATTTTACAAGAGATAATGGAATTAAATAAAGCTTTGCAGTAGAAGTGAAGGTGCGATTTTTCGAATTTTTATAAATTGTTTTACAAACGTTTAATTGATGATTGCGTTTACCTTATCTTTTTACGTTTACACTATTATCCAGTGGCAAAATCTCTATGATTTATTGTACAGTCGCGAATAGATCGGTTGCGACACTTTTTTTTATAGGTTTCAAAACGCACTAATATTTTGCAAATGCGAATCACGATTGGTGTTAAACTGTCTCTAGACTAAAGATAGTACATCGTGGTTCGCATTTGCAAAATATTAATTACCTATAAAATATATATATTATGTATATTAAATATATATTAGAAATCTATAAAAAAATAGTGTCGCAACCGATCTGTCCACGATTGTACATTTAGCGTTACTCGCGCACACGTGGCGCACAAATCTCCGCAAAATGAGAGCATCGCGTGTGTTTATAGGTGCCGTTAACTCGCCGCAAATCCTCTTAAACAGCGGTATAGGGCCTCGAGAGGAGCTCAATGCGGTCGGTGTACCGGTTGTTCGTGATCTCCCGGGTGTCGGCAAGAATCTTCACAATCACGTCGCCTACGCGCTGACCTTCACCATCAACGATACCGACACCACTCCTCTCAATTGGGCGACCGCCATGGAGTACTTGCTCTTCAGGGACGGTCTGATGTCCGGCACAGGTAAGAAGACAGAAACAGGTTTAGTTGAAAAATTTCCAATTGTTCAAAAGTGAAACGAGGAATAAAAAATATATATCTAAAAAATTCTTTCTAAGCAACACGTAAAAAGGTATAAAAAATAACCCGCGCAAGTATATATTAAAAAATATTTAAAGTTACGATAAGAAGAAATAAAAAGAAAAAGGAACTCTATTGACAGTAAAAATTAGGAAAATAAAAAAACTGATTAATAATATTAAATTAATTTAGCGCGTAAAATTGTAACAAAGTAATAAATTATGTATGCCAAGTATATCCGGAACAAGAACAAGAATGATACTTAATTATGATTATTCTTTTCATTGAACTATACAGTTTATCGCTGCAGTTTTACATTTCATTAAATTTTAATTAATTATTGCAATTTGTTCATCGTATTTCATCGAAAAAAAAATTTAACTTCTTGAAAAACAGGATAAGATTTTAGCGTGGCTCTCTCGGCGGAAAACGTTAACTCGGAGAGATCGTCAGCTCCGTATCCTTATATCTGTACTAGTATCTTTAGTCAACAAGTATGAACCGTCATTGTCTCGCGTTGTTACGCCAGGGTTGCAATTTCATTGATCGGGGCAACGCGGTCGTGTTAAAGTACTAGCCCGCTTCTCCTTCCTGTTTACCATGTCGAAGGATGTTGCATCTCGGAGCGTTAATTCACGGGCTTCGTGCCACGAGCAGTGAAAGTGTATTATTGCACAATGGTCACGTTCGTGGTGTGCTGCCGACCCGCGATTACGTGACTTATTCCCGACCGACAGATCTATTTACCGTCATCCGAATTGCGGGCCGACTTGAAGCCGGTCGTCGCCTCGCGTGGCACTCGTGACTCTCTGCTCTTACGATTTGTCAATACATATACGAATTATCCGACGCGATTCTCGTCCCGTGCCGTTATTTCACACACACACACACTCTAATATATGTACATTATCGGCTTGTTACGCTCGAATATTATTTCCCAAGCGTTGTTCTATCATTCGAAGAAGTATAAAGCTTATATCAACGAGAAATACAAAGAATGAAAGGCAGATAGAGATGTTAGCAACATTAAAAGCTAATAACGACGTCGTGGGAAGTAATTATCTGACGTAACTTTTATACATGTCAATAAGCTAATAACTTCTCTCATTGAAGTATTATTAAATTAAGCGCGATAATTTATGAGAACATTAGCGGTGATACTTAAAGTTGATACGTCAAGTCTAATATTTACACATTAATCTTCTCATAAATTAATATTAACAACTCATCCTGAATGACCGTCATTCATCTTCCTACAAATTACATTTGCATTCCCATTACATTATGAGCTAAATTACATCGCAGTAAGTAGCGGTTAAGAAATACCATAAAAAGATCAAGAGGCATAAACATATATTCATGTTTCTTGTGCGTTTGATAAAAGAACGAAGATATGCGCTCATTCGAGTGGTATTTCGTCTTTCGTGTGATCGCCTAATTAACACGCAATTATACATATAGGCAACTTCGAACTTTGCACATGCCTTTCGAGCCTCAATCGAAGGCGGGAGGGTGAAACCGTTGAAAAGCGAGCGCGCATAGCTTCGCGTCGGGAATTCGCTCGAGTAAATTGCGCGGGAATTTATGTAGATACGTACTCCGTCGCGTGTGTTATATCCGTAACGTATCCCTTTCACGAGACTAACTCGATCATAACATGAAGCGCTTTTTAAGGTAATCCAGCACGAACGGTAGCCCCGAGCTGTGCTAGTTTTTAACGAGCCTCACCTCCGGGGCTGAACTCCTTCACGTCTGAGAATCGCGTCTCTCGCCTCCTCGCACGAAACGCCGCCGGCGCGGCGAGATGTTATAATGGAGCATAGTTCTCTCTCGCTAAATGCAGCTCGCAGAATCACTCGATCCTCTTGACATCGCGCGGCCATGCGGATCAGTTATGCGATTCAGATGGAGCTCGATTAAAATTATATAAGGATAACGAACACGATCCGGATGAATTGAGTGTATTGCAAAAACGTCGATTGCATCTTGGTCGGCTCGAAATATCAATATTTCAAATTTCGCTAGTGAAATTGACTGAACTGTACGTGGATCAGATTCAATAACTAAATTTTTTATTCATTAATTAATGATATATTGATATGTTAAAAAACTCACGGATTATTTTAAAATTATTATAACAAATTCGTGAAAAATTACAGCAGATTGATTGTCGCTTCAATTATTGTAAAATAAATGTTCGACTGCAAAAATATTTTTTTAATAGTTTTAAAGGCTGGAAAGAAACCCGGTTTTTTTCCGTTTTTCCGCGGATTTTTTCGATTTCTTTCCCAAGGGATAGAAAAATTCAATGGAAAACTTTATGTACATATTCGTAAAACCTATCACATTTTACATTTACAATACTTTTCAAAATTTAAAAATTTTATAACAAGTATATATTTATTGCTGATAATTAAGTTAAATACTAAAGAAATAAGAAGCAAATTATGTAAAAATAAATAAAAAAAACAGAGTTAATATATTTTTTAAATAAAACGTATGGCTCTTGACAATGATTAATAATCAAAACTCTTTAAAAATACTTAATGTAAATATCAATTTAAGTTAATTTTTACACTAATTGTTAGAATTGCGTTTCCTAAAACAGTTTATTTAACAATAAATAAGCCCCATCTTAAGGAATATGTAATCAAATGCAAACATAAAAATTAACTCATTATTAATTCCAGCGTTTATACGTGGTATCTTATTTTAATAATGCTATAAAATACGAGAGTTATAACTTATAAGAGTTATAAACTTATATTTACAATAATTTAAATAAAAAATTTACACATTTTAACGAGCAAATTAAAATAAATCACTTACATTACTTTCTGAATCTCAATTTATATTTAATATAATGAAAAATATTAAAAATTAGATAGTATATCGTTTACATAGCAATTGTTTCTTTATTTTTTAATGCGTAATTTTTCGAGAATAGAGCCCCAGCAGACTCTAAAAGTGGATTTAGTACGGACACCACAAATCGTGCAGAAATCTGGATTTTGCTATGTAATTTGGATCCACTTCTTCAGAGGGCGTTAGTGCGTGAAGGCATTTTAGCGTTACCATGGACATAGGAATATAAGGGGACAGAGCACAAAGTCGTAACTTAGGCGAGGGGAGTGAAGCCGAAATGCGAGGGGAGAGTCCGCCTGATTCACTCTTATTGATCCCAATTTATCCCCTCCCACAGCAAAAGCATAGGGATACTCGGTCTATTATACATGTGTGTATTACATGGACACAAGAACTTATATCATTGCGCTTGCGCAAACTAACAGGCCAATCAAATTCAGGTGGACGTTTACCTTGTCGCATCGTCCCGCAGTGGCTTCCTCCCCGCAACTCTATGCTCTGATCCCTTATATTCCTATGTCCATGAGCGTTACAGCCAAAAGGCCGGCATGTTTAGAGATTCTCTAGATAGAGACACCGACGAGATACTCTTAAAGACCGACAGCCCTGGGCAAATTTTCGTGCCAGCAAATGAGCCCGGTGGGCCCGGAGATAATTGCAGAGTGTCAATGTTATCAACTTTTGACATAAATTTGCAATTTATTTGAATAATACATT